ATGAATCATTACTTTTCATCAAGGACTGGCAATTAGACATTTATGCCGAACAAGTGTATTTTTTAAAGATGTTACTGCAAAGCTACCTCGTGAAAAAATAAAGTGGGTTTACCCTAGCTGCTCTCAGCTTCTCTTGCAAGTGCAGTGTCACAATGTCATCTAAATTTTTGGGACTATGTTGAATTCCTGAGCCAAGACCTAGAAGACAAAGTACATCATGACACCGTAATTACATCTATTATTACTCAGTACTGTATTGTTACTGGTTAGCCTCTAAGTTTTGTTCAGATTTATATAATGTGTCTCTTTAAAGTTAAGGTGCTATATGAGTTTATTTTAAGAAGTTTAGGTAATTTATTTCGTTTTAGAAAAAGGTGTTTAAAACATTTAAAACAAATAAAGGCTAATACCACAGACATTTTTCATAGGAGACATTTTGACGTCATAGTAGGAAAAGCACCAGTGTAACTGACAACACTCACAATGGCTGCATTCCATTTATGTGAGCCATTTCGATGATCATGGCTGAGTGGCATTGTTTAGTGGGACACTTAATGGAACTCAGCCATGTTAATGTTGTTAGCTACACCTGTACCTTTCCTACTGTGACAACTCAAAATGTCTGCTGTGAAATAGATATGGTACTGACAGTACAGACTGATAGTACTGGCATGGACACTAACCTCTCTGAGCACCACTTGGAGGTTTTGACAAATTCATGGGGTCAGCTGCCTTCTCAGCTGAGCCCCTATCTTCACTCTGGGGCTGAATGGTGGATATCTTCTCCACATCATCATTATCATGGGACTCGTGGGCTGAAGACTGTTCAAGCAGCTAACATAGGCCAAGAAATGGAGCAGTGATACTGTCGGAGCTGTTAACCCTATAAAACCTTTTATATCATATTTGCTACGCGAGTTTCTGAGCAAAGAAAAAGTTGCCAAAAATGCCCCATGTATCAAATGTGATACAAAAAAATTAAAATAAACAAAATAATATGGCACATTTATTCCTATATGCCTGGACTGTCTGTCTATGCATAAATGGCAAATAAAAATCTTGTATCTTGAATTTTCGTTTGGATTTTGTTAAAAGGTTTAATAAACATCTCAGTTCCATAAAATTAGAATGTTCTGGCTTTTTTTTTTTTTTGATGTGTCAGGCTTTACAGGGTTAAGCAGGTACAGTTAAAGTAATGACAATTAAGAGGGTGTCAGAGCAAGATGTACCCTTTTCTTCTGCCTCTGTCTCTGAGCTCTTAATGTGCGTTTGAGCGTCTCTCCTGGATCTTCTTCACTGCTTTGAGCCTCCTGTTGTAGTAGAGGTATACAGTTAAAACAAACCGCAACAGCAAGACTGCATACGCAAACTGTACATGCATCTACACCTACATTTAGTACACCAAAGGCTGAAAGAGGGTTCAATGGCAAGGGGAAGAAAGGACAGAGATCAGTGTTGGGCAACTGCAGTCTACATGCTACAAAACACACACAAACCTTCATTGTAGTTTGGTGTTTCCCCTTGCTCAACGTGGCAACTGGAACCAGAGCCTATAAGGTATAATTACATTTACTAAAGTGTTAGCAGCTGTCTTATCTGTGTTCCTGAGTGTTTCTGATTCTGAGTGTGTATCAAGCAGGCCGCTCCTCCAAGTCATGTCGAGTCTTGTCACAAGGAGGACTTTTGTTTAGTGCTAGGTGAACTCTATAGGACTAATGTCTGTCCACGGAACCATGGAAAGATATAATGGTTACCTGTAGTAATATTAATTACGGTTACAATTTTTTATAACTTTACCTGAACGTCGTCCTCATTTTTGTTTTTAGCCCAAGTTTCTTGTAAAGCACGGCCCTTCTTTCGCAGTTTTCCTCGAAACTCACTAAACATAAAGAGGCGCAGTCATTTTAAAATACAACTGTCGTTAGCTTAGCTGACATAGCCAAAAGCGGCATCCCAGAGACATAGTTAACGCTAGATGAAAGTGAGTTATGACAAAGACCAAAATGGGCACTTACGCTGAGGGAGCTAGGGTGGCCATGATAACGTTAGTATTCTATGCATTAACGTTAAGCGGTCTGAATATGACCACTGTTGTTGGGGTCTAGCGTTAGTCCTGTAGTAAGATAAGCAGCCAGTGTATGTATCCAACTGATCCTATTTATAGTTTATACATTTCCGATCAAATTATTACAAGAACATGAGTGCCGTTATCGCTGCCTAGTAACGATGTAAACTACGTCTCGACCTACCTTGGAAATAAGCCGATGCATCTAAACATGGTTCACCAGTTCTGAATTTCTATTCGTCCTGTGGAAGGTCAATCAAACAAGTTAGTGACGCAAGGAACCCGCCTACTACGGGGTCCCATAAGCTACAAATGCACTGTGCCAATCTGTTATTCTCTCTGCCTGTTGTTTTTGGCATTCTTGCCAATAGAAACAATACGGCGGATTTGTTTTGTCGTCTCATGTTTATATTTGGCAGTATTTCTGACTCACATATGTTTTAGTTTTGCTTTTTTGAAAGGAAACTCCCCAAACCAAAATATACATATCAGCAAAGTTTATTTAAATTAGTCTATAATTTGTCCATCTCCAATCTAAAACAAACAAATCAGAAACTCATTCAAGCTTTATCAAATAATATAATTTATAATCAGTAGATAGGTTTCTGTAGTAATAATGTAACTAGAAGTACAAACATTTGTATAAAAATATAGTTCAACCATACTATATATGTAATAAGAAATATCAAAGAAAACAGTGACTAGCAGTTTTTGGTTTTGTTTTGTGTTTTCCAGGTTTTATGCATAGTCGGCTGCCAGTGTGTCAAAGTAGTTTGTGTCAGCATAGAGAAGAAAGCCAGAGAACAAGCTATCAGCCCAGCCTGGGTCTGCAAATAAACCGTTCTGGTCACGGTAGAAGATCTCCAACCACACCTCATCTTCTGGGTTCAGGAACATCACAGTGGACCCAGATGCTACATCATGGTTCCCTGTGTTGGCGTCAAAGGTTTTGATGCGATATTGGCCATTCTGCACCAGACCAATAGCCAAGTGTTTGTTGGCCAGGGTAATGTCATAGGAGAAATAATAAATGCCTGGGTATGCACAGATGAACTTGCCTGTCTGTGGGTTGTAGTGTCCACCCTCATTAAACAGGACCTTGTTAAACTTGATGGGGGTGTATTCTGTAGGGTAGCTGCTAGTTATTCCAACAGAGAAGGCAGATTTAGGAAGCAGGCTGCCACATCTGCAAGTTCCTGCTGTTCCAGGTGGCCCTCGTTCACCTTTATCCCCTTTCTCTCCATCATGTCCTAGAGGACCAAGTGGGCCCCGATCTCCATTTTCCCCAGTAGGGCCTTGTTTCCCCGCAGGGCCACGGTCACCTCGTTCTCCAATTTTACCTGTTGGGCCGACTCTGCCCTTCAATCCTGAAACAGAAATATCGTGATGTATCGTATCGTATGCACTATTCTTGATAGAATTATTGTTGTTGTTTTTTTGTCAGTACTGCCATATGACTACATTTCTGTTCTGCACTTGTTAAACCTTTTAAAGGAAGTGTCAATGGAAACACAACTCTACGCCCAGTGTCATGTATTACATCAGCCTTGGAACGTAGTCATCTTTATATTTGAACAGTACAGTTTTGGCTTGATAGTATCTTCTATCCAGTTGACTACATTTGCACATTTAATGCCTTGGACCTGAGAAACTGTGAATCCTGTATTCTTGTGCTGGGCTGTTCTGAATATGTAGTGTCATGAAGGTATGCATCTGAATTCCTGTTTCCACACATAATGGAAAAGTCAGGTGTATGTCAGATGTATTGCATTACAGAATGCATATCAATAGAGTAGGCTATTTCTGCTGGACGCAGGTGAACACATGCAGTATTTCCAATTGTTTTTGCAACTCTGGCAGCTTTACCCTCAGACCCCGACAAAGGCTACAAGCCAAAACATGTTGGTCTGAACATTAAAGTTGCTTTATATAGTGCAAGTGTTGCTGGATCTTTTGCCTTTCCAGCTTTACCCTCATGAAATATTACCCTTATGAAAAACTAAACAAGAAAAGAAATCCAAGCCAAGCCATGAACAGCCATGACAAATTGTCTGTAATGTGGGAAGCCTGGGAAAACTCAGAGGCTACATTTGGATGGAGAAATGCATGTAACATCTCATAATTTGGTATGGCTATAATGCAAAACCTAAAGGCACTTTAGTTTAAACTTAACTTTAGTCCATCCACACATACACCTAAACCCACACAGATGAAATCCTTTCCAGTGCTTATAAAATGTAGGCTCATCTAGCTAAAAGGCTGAAAGTAACAGCTGAATAATGTGGATGAAAATGTCTAGAAACAGAACATTGGGTTCATAATGGCTTTGTGTTGTTTTCTGTTGCTTTTTGAGGAAATATACATACAAAGAATGTAGTTTTCCAGCACAACCACTTGTATTTGTACTGATGATACCATATGCATTTAGAGGAGTCAATGGCCTGAGGCATGTTTATATCCATTTGTCTTATACTAAACAGGTATATAGTATCATTTGTCTGACACTTCATTTTGTAATCCTGATATTATTTTTTTTATGTGGAGCTCCTCAGTTAATCTTGTCTTTGTCAGCTGTCAGACAAAGCTGTTCTGTGCAAGCTTTTCATTTGCAGAGACTGGTAGTGTTTATTTATTGGTACATATAGTATAAATTGATGCTGTATCTGTTTAGGTTTTATATGATACCTGTGTCTCCCTTTTCGCCCTTTTCACCCTTCCTGCCATCTCTGCCATCTCTTCCTGGGATACCCACATTCCCATCTGCTCCTGGGGCCCCGCCGGGACCAGGTTTGCCAGGCAGGCCTGGTGACCCAGGGACACTGCAGATCAGACGGGGCGCTCCTTTCAGCCTGGTCTCAAACAGCTGTCCAAAGACACAGTGGCACACACAGACTACTCCCATCAATGCCCACATCTTCAAATCTGTAAACGCAAACAACAATTTTAAAAGACATTTACTAGCTTCTAATATTCCTTTAGGAGCGTCTCTGGTGTGTTTCCACATTGACAAGAAAATTTAGCATCACATTTCAAAAAAAGTTCTTTTGTGTTAGCAGATGTTTAGAGCTAAAAAGAGACAGTAAGAAAGACATGAAGTGTTGTTATGATCTGACCAGACATGAGAACCTGTTCTCATTTTTCACAAAGCTTCACGGTGCTTACAGTGGTGTTGCCATGGTCATAGGCAGAACCAAAGCATTGAGTGAACTAAATTTGTCATCAGGTCCAACATGGGGCCAGATGGGATTCTTTTAATGAGAAGTAATTTCTATTTGATTCTGTCTCACGCACTGATGTTCTCATTCACCACAGAATTGCATCTGAGAGGCTTCTTTGTTCCAAGTCTTCTTTTCTTGCCAAAACATTCCCAAGTTATGACATAACACCCAGCACATTTTCTGTCAGGAGAAGCTAATTATGCAATAATGACACTTGAACAGACAGAGACATTATACATTTATGTTACACAAAGAGAAAGACAGAGACATGATTTCATAATGTATTATTACATGTCACCTGAACCATCAGTGCTAATAACATAGATGATGATCCAGCAGTGGTGTGTGAGGGACCACACACTTAAATCCAGTCTGGAAACCTTTCACATGTTGGACAACAAACATTCCATAATAACTGAATCAGATGGACACTCACTGACTCAGTTCTTCTACAGGAAGATATTTAGGGAGCATGACCAAAAGCACAGAGCAGGATTTGTGAATTTAACTGATACGCATGTTTGTTCTTTCCTTATTTGCCCATGTGGGTGTGAGAATACAAGTTTTGCATCTGCCGTTTGGCTGTCTCTGGTCGGTGGAGGCCTTTGTGTGTCTGGCTTAGACACGTTCCAACTGTCTTTTTATTGCAACATCTTCTACTTAGCATTAACACATTTGGTTTTTTCTGTCAGTGTAATTTGCAAGCACATATAACAAATTATGTGTGTACTATGAGACAATAAACATGACAAGATAAACAGGAAGGACACAGTTAAACTTTGGCACACAAACACAGGCACACGATACAAACAAGCTGTGTTGTTATGTAGAGTGTTTTTGATTTTGAGGGGAATGAACTGGTCACAGAGCCAGTGTGAGGTCCTGTGAGAGAGAAACCCTGCCCGCCAATTCCCCTCTGATGTCAGCATTAGTAACATAGCTATCATTAAAGCAACAGTTCTCTTCTTACACACAAAGGGACATGTGCATGAAGACATACAGTAAATGCATGCAAAAATGCTTTAATTCTTCTATTAAAAATGAAATAAAACTGATTGCAGTTCATCTTTTTTAAGAATGACAACATCAAGGCATTCAGGACCCCTTGGTCTTCATTGTTCTTTTTTCCCAGTGAACATGTGGAGCAAGGCAGATTATAAAATTAAAATAGTGTGTTTGGCTATACTTCACTGAAAATGTCTGCATCCACTTTGATCATTGGCAGATTCTACAGCCCAGCTTCTAATTTAGGTCAGACACAAGTCTCCCAGTTACTCTTAAGGTGATTTTTGGAAAAAAGCTTAAAAAGAAGAAATGCACTTTTTAAGTAATCTAATTTCTTTTAGGGGGATCATTTACCATATATACTGGTTACTTGTATTTATACACATATAATAACCATGCATGCATACACGTGGGTACAAGTGTACACACAAACAGTGACATACAGAGACATGTACTGGCAAAGTTGTTAAAGTTATTCACTCAGAAAGATCAGAAACTTTAAAGACATCAATATTTGCATGAATCATTCCTTTTGGTTGTTATTCTGAATGAAGAATGCTGTGTGACAGTCAGAAGTATTCAACAGGTGTTCTTACCCCACAGTGGACAACCGTTCATCTCCAATGCTGATTAAAATGTGCACCGTTGAGTGTCTGTGTCCTCTTTGCTCAGATTCCAGTTTGTGCGATGATTTGAGCCCTTGGTGAACATGTCACTCGTCTTTCTCTGCTCTGCTCTCAGACGTCTGCGTGCAGAGCTCAGCTGTTTTTGTTGCTGTTTTGTAGTGCAGCAGCTGAAGCAGACTGAAGTCACTCCATCCAGCCCTCCTCCCTTCCCCTCCCCTTATCCACTCCTTTCTCTCTAACTTCCTAAGGCAAACAACTATCACCCAGGCCAGTGTGTGTGTGCAGAATTAGTTACGTCATGTCATGCATGAAGACTCTTTTAGTGTGTGATAACCACTGTCGAAGTCACTATGTTGAATCTTGTTTTTCTATAAAAAAGATGAAAAAATATCAGAAACACTGGTGATGCATTGACCTCAGTGTTGATCTGAGGTGTATTTCTGACACTCATCCATAGATGGTGCCACAAGTGTTTTGTTGGAGTGTGGGGCTTCTTGGACTAATTCCTACCCATATTCAGTGTGGTCATCTTCAGTGGTACAGTGCGTTCAAGTGAGCCGCTGTTCACCTTTGCTTGGTCAAGTCAACTTGTGTTCCGAGTGTGCAATTTTTCATAAATTTATCATAACCACAGTGGAGTGGCTGTGAGGGCTAAGCTATTTGAAGTGACTATTGAAAATGTATAACATGACAAATAAAAGCTTTCCTTAATTTATTTAGGATACATTATCATAAGTGTCAGATAGATATTACAACAAACACTAATAAGTTTTAATTATAAATGGTGACAAATGACAGTCGGACAGTGATCATGCAGTTTTGTAAAGGTGCTTTGTCAAAGAAAATTGCTTCAAGGTTGCAACAAAATCTTTCAGATTTCAAATTAAAAGAGGCCTCAGTTATTTGTTTTCATCAGCATACATTTGGACTGAATTTCTACTTTTGGAGTAATGAGATGTCTCTAAATTGCCCGTGTGTGTGAGTGGTGGTTCGTCTGGGTGTTAGCCCTGCGATAGACTGGCGACCTGTCCAGGGTGTACCCCGCCTCTCGCCCGCAGCTGGCTGGGATTGGCTCAAGCCCCCCGTGACCCCGTTTGGGACTAAGCGGTATAGAAAATGGATGGATAGATGGAGTAATGAGATACTAAAGTGCCTTACACTGAATGGCAATGAGCTTTTCCCTCTAACTTTGATGGGGAATAAAAACTGTTTCTTGCATAAGTAGTTCATCAGCCCACTTGCAATGAAAATATTTTTATGTCTTTCACAATCTACATGATAAAGCTTATAGTTAGGGCTGCATCAGGTGACCCTGAACCTTCCCTTAGTTATGCTGCTATAGGCCTAGACTGCTGGGGGGCTTTCTGTGATGTTATTGCTTGTCTTGTTCCTCCACTCCTTGACCCTCACCTCCCCCTCCCTTCTCTCTCCATCTTATTTTATGCCGCCATTGCATGTCACTAACTTTGTGTCTCCTCCCTCCCGTAATGTGTGCTCTCTCTGTGCCTGTACATTTCTGCAGGTATCCCATTAAACCTGCCCAGTGTTTGTTTGTTGTGTCTTGATGCTTTTCTTTCCTCTCTCCTCTATCCACTCACGCCAACCGCTTGAGGCCGTACGGCCATCCACCAGGAGCCCGGGTCTATCACCACTGATTTGCACAGTTAAATCTTCAAAAATGTGACCAAATCTTTTTTGAGTATGGACAATCTCTTGCATAAATCTTAGGTTTTGATGTCTTTTTTTGACAAGTGTATCTGCAATGATGTCACTCATGATGGGGCACATTTTATTACGTTTTATTCTTTGTATTTAGAAAGTACAGACAGCATTACTGGAGATGCTGCAAGCCAGTGAGGGCCAGTATTTACCTTTACACAGCCCCACATGAGGAGGAAACGTATGCAGCAAGCAACCATGTTGTGTCCAAACAGAATGGGTCTTTATTCAGGAAGTGAAAGGGAAAAAAGATTGTAATCAACACCCCATTTAAATACAAAACCAACAAAAATAAAAATAGACATGATATTCATTTTGCATATCAAAGAACCATTCAGTATTAATTTCAATCCAAACACCTCATAAACCACTTTGTGAATCTATACACAAACTGTGATTTAGAAATTAGTCACTTTAACAATAAAATTACAAATATTTAGCTTCAAATATAATTAAACTCAAAATAATATCTTAGCAATTAGCATCTTAAAATTATATAGAGTGTATTTCCACATAAAATACAAAATAATACCAATGACATTAAATATGAAAAATTATTCCAACAATTCTGCTACTGTTAAATGAAATAAAAATGTGGGATAAAACAAGATGAAATGAAATAGAAATATGCATGAAAAAGTCTTTCTTTTGTTAGCAAAACACTATCCAAAATAACTACAATCATTTACATCAGTACAAAGATATCTGGATTTAAAAATAGTTGCAATGAAAAAACGGGGTTTATTTTTTTCTGACAGTAAAAAATGACACTGTGGATCAGAAATCTGCAAAATATGCAATGAAAAAAATAAATCTGCATTAAAAAGGTTTACACTGTTGTTCTTACTTTTATACAAACATTAGAAACAGTATTGCACATCACAACACAGATTCGAGGTTAATCAGCCTTTCAAAATGTGTTATATTCAAGTTTCAGAGCATCTACGAGGACAGGCAGCTGGGGCCTCGATGCAACGGGGAGAATCTCAAGTGTCTTCCAAGGGTATAATAAAACCTTCATGTTTCCTTCCTTCAAATGAAATGTGTCATGTATCAAAATAAGAATCAAGTGTATATCAAAAACCTTGATGTTGTTACTAGTGACATGATTCCTTGTCTTTGACCAGAACTTTTGGACATAATTAACATTGGGGAGGGAAAATAAATTGTATAATAGTCATATTTAAATAGAAAAATACAATCAAAATCAAATAGCTTTTTTCTCCAACTACAAAAATAGTGAAATAAATATGATTTTTTACAAAAACAAAGACACGTACAGAGCAAAGTAACAGTGTTTAACATAGAAATAGAACCTCACAAAAACAGCACAAGTCAAGTGTTACAGGTGACCATATTCAGACATGGCTGAGAACTAAAGCCACGGGGGATGATGGGAGCCCCCTCTTTATTTCGATCCTGCCACGCCGTTCTGACTCCCTGTCCTCACAACAATCACACCACATTAAAATATGTCCGAAAATATTGGATTCCTTCTCTACTTATACAGAACATAGATAACTTAAGACCGCTGCTTCACGCTACATCTTAAATAAGCATTAATGAAAAAATAAAATGTAATAAATCCTTTGTAGAATTTTCAAAAGGTGGAGAAATCACTTTAGGGGGTGAACAAGCAGAAAAAAATAGTGGTAAAAAGTAGTGCATAATATATATTATATAAAGATACCGAAGGACCAGTGATGGGTAAGTAGTCGCCACAAACAAATTAAACCATATGACTCAACTCTAAGCTTCAATAAGGTTTTAAACAGTACACACGTGACTCCTGAACACCGATACCGAGGAGCACACACCAGAGCATGGAACACAAAAACCACGACGACACAAGAGCGACACACTTGTACAGTACAGAATGGACGGCCAGGCTGCTGTCCTCACAGAAAGATTGTCCCTAAATAGTTTTAAGTATCTGAAGTATTTCAAAGGTCACGGTGGAAATCAAACAGACGTACAACACAAACAAAGAGAAGAGAGTTTCGTCTTTAGCACGCAGAGAGACCAAGTGTCATCATCCCCATTATGACAGCTTGGTTAGGACATGCTTAATCTTGCAGTAACTGGGCCAGTGTCTCAAGTAGCTGCAGCCACACAACGCGACCGCTTCAACTAGTCATTACCATCAGCCTAGTGAAGTGAACGTGCTCTAAGGATGCTTACTAACATGACTGTTAGCCTCGGCCCAGCTCTCCCAGTTAAATCTTCCGAGCCGACCGAGTCTTTTGCTTGCATTTGGTCTGCCAGGGTGAAGCTGTATCAGATTAACCTTTGGAACCATACAAAGATACAGGACGGGAAGGGTGAAAGCAGAGTCAATCTGATGTTTGAATTCTCCTTTACATGGTCTGTTGGTAACTAAACCAGTGCCTCAGTCTACACTAACAACAGTCGCACAGCACAGGGACAACACACAAACACAAACCACTGAACACCACTCTGCTTCTCTGCTTCAACGGGTGTTTTTTTTTTTTGTTTGTTTGTTTTGCCATACAAGCCACCCTGTCACAAAACGATGGCGTCCACTAAGTCTACATTAGAACCAATATCACTTTTTGTATTGTTAAGTATGTAAATAGATCAAACAACAGAGAAACATCAATACATGCAAGTTTAAATATGTCTCTTATGCTATTTAGCTTCATCTGATTTTTTGCCCTCGTCGGCTTCTGTAATCGATGGTCATGCTACTCACTAGAAAATTTTGTCTCGTCTTTAATCACGATGTCAGTGGTTTTTTGTTATTATTTTATTTGCATTTTTTCCCTCACATCTATGCTGCATGCTAGTTGTGTATCTGTTTTCATAACATGCACTTTAATTCTTTCCACAGCAATGGGGGCCATTAGTGGTTGAGTGCATACTGCATTTTGTTTTTACATGATTCTGGTTTATAAATGGCATTAAATATAATACCTACACATCTATTCATATATATGTATATATAGCAGCAAAGCTTCTAAAAGAGCTTAAGTACAAATGTGGAATACAGTTAGCGGAGACCAGATTTTGTGTTTTGAGGTATCACTCTATGGAGCAGTATGAGCACAGAAAGAACCCTAACATCTTTTGTTTTTAATAAACTCTCTAACAAGAAGAAAGAGCCCGTGGCCCCAAAAAACAACTGTTTGTTTTGCAGCAGAAATGTATCAATTTGATGCTTCCTATCTTGTTGCTACCTTTGGTTAATGACCTGGGGCAGGCATCAACATTAGAGAATCAAGGTTTTCCCAGAAACAGTCGTGAACTACATGCACTGTGGGGTGGCTAGCAGCAGACACACAGACAGACAAGCTGCCCCCATGCAAAAACATTCCCATATCTACTTTAAATCTCACATACAAAAATAATAATAATAAAAAAACCTACAAAAATCAATTTCTTCTTAAATCTCCTCTTAGAAAAGATGAAAGTACCACAAACTAGTTGTAGAGTTGTCAGAGCCTGATATATATATGTAGTATATACTGTATAGTGTTACGTACTGGATTATACTGCTTAGGAGAGCAGGAGAGGCAGAGCGATGCTCTTTTTCCTGTTAGCCACTGTTTCATTTCCCTTCCCTCTGACTGCGTCAGCACGGCTACGGTCACACTTCTAATTCCAGCGAAAGTGAATCTGGCGTGGGCGGTCAGCTCCCTCTTTGACCAGGGGCTTGTGAAACTCTCGACCGGCGCGGGAGTGGATGTTGGCCCAGCAAAACTCGCAGTAGTATTGCAGACAGGTGACATTAGCACAGAAGAAGGGAGCAAACTTCCCTCCACAGCGAGCACCCTGGCACTCATCACACAGCTGATCATCCAGGACATAGGGCTTCACCTCCACCTGCGTGCACACATTTTGGAGAAGAAATAATTACTGACACTTTATGTAAAATGGGAAACTGCGAATTTGATAATGAAGGGGAGGCTGTACCCGTTTGTCAATGTCCCCGTGCTGCAGCTGGACAAATCTCGCACTGATGGCAGCAATGTAACTCTGCTGATTGGAGAAGGCCACTCGTCCCGCACCCTTCGGGTATTTGAGCTCTGGATCGGTGTCGATTCCTGCGTAGCAGACTCCACCATAGAGGCGATCCATAATCATGGCCAGCTCAACTAGTCAGAGAGTAAATGTAAAGAATAAAGCAGAACAGACAGGTGGGATAAAGAAAAGTTATAAGAGGAGAAGAGGGTGTTACACAGCAGGGTGTGTGAGAGAGAGAGAGAGAGGGTGAGACACTGTCAGACTGTGGTAGCTGGTGGGACTTGTAGTCTCAGACACACATTATTCACATTAAACATACATCTGATCTTCTACTGTAATATGTCACCGTGTGTCTGAGCTGCTGAATCTCTATTAGTTCCTAAAGAGAAACTGAGATGAAAAGTATAATTACTTGCTCTCAGGGGACGAGGAACGCCTCCCACAAAGATGGTTTTGCGGGGATCCAGGGGTTGAGATCCGTCCATCACAAAGTCACTGTCACTCAGGTTCCAAGGTCGAATTTGCACCTGAGGTCAGAGCCAAACCAAATTACATCTCTTCTTTTGTTATTCAAGACAAATTTCAATGACAGAACTGGGTCTTTGTTTTTTGTTGTGTGAGCTGGTGCTGTTGAGCTCACAGGTTTGTCCTTGATGGTGGGGCTGGAGACACACAGGTAGAGCTTCCCATCCTCCTCCATGCAGGCTTCAATCAGAGCCTGCACCGAGCTCTCCTCACAGTTTGGGCATTAAGCATGCGACATACTGTATGTTCCTGCCTTGGATTATCAGTATTCAAATGACGCCTCATTCATTGGCATCTCAGCTTCACACCATCCAAACCCAATGTAAACAGTGTTCAGCAGTCAGGAATGTTTGTCTAACATGGGCTGGCTGCTTTTGTCGGTACCTTTGGGTGGAAAGTAGGATTTGCTTTCTGCTTTGTGTGGCCAGTCCACCACCAGGTGGCCAAAGCGGCGAAAGCTTGAAGTTATTTCATCTGAAGAAAAGTGGAAAAGAAACAACAGGCAGGTGAAGAGAGAGAGTAAATGGTTGATAGAGCAGAATGACCAAAGACCATGAGTACTGTACAATGCTGTCATAAAATACTATATTCTAGTTGTCCTCACCTTCATCGATGTCAGGGGGCAATCCTCCCACAAACACCTTACGGGAGAAGCGCTCAATGCGTTCCCCGTTTTGATGGGGGTAGCAACTGGGGGAGCCAAGGACCCCTGGGACGCCCTGGTTGCCATGGCCATCATCAAGGAGATTGTCATCAATTGGGAACAGAGAGGAACGACCTGGTGGAGAAAAACGGGGGGAAAAGGCAGCTAAGGCTACAGTGAATGTCAAATATGCTATTAACACTCACAAATGTATATCTAACCCCAGTCTAATTACAGAACCTGCCTCTCCTTTATGGTATTTTATGTCCCTGCTGTGGCAGGAAAAATAATGTGCCTGCTTGCACTGCAGTTTCTAAGTGAGTGGTTGTGAGATAAAGCACCAGCTTAAAGCAAGGATTATGTACAGTTTATTTTTTTTCCAGGTCTGAGACTGAGGAAAGGCAGGCTGTGTGGAACAAAGCTGTTACCACGGTCGCTACGAGGGTGGAACACCAAACTGTTAAAGTGTTCAATGTTAAATTAACAAGTAACTGTAAAAAAGATGGTCATATGAATAAATTGTATATAAAATAATAATCATTTGTGAAATATTTTAAGAAATGATTAGGGATCAACTTATGAAAAGCTTTTTCAGCCTTCTCCTTATCATATTAACAGATTTCATTTTTATTGCTTTCTGGAAATGTTTGTATTTTTATATACAAAATGCATTTTTATTTTATAAAAGCATTTTCTGCAGTGAAAACTGGGAAACACATGAACTTGAACATGAAGTCAAAATATCCCAGGGAAAAATCCCAATATAAAATAAAAAACAAACTTTTGAAAAAGAGTATTTTGAAGAAAAAAAAGATATCCAATAAAAATTGTAATGACTGATGAAATATCATTTTATATCAGTGAATTTAATTTTACAGCTTTCTCAGTATTTCCACAAATTGTTGCTTCATTTATATATTTTACAGACTTCATTACTACAATAGCCAAATGTCTTTTTTACTCATTTAATATTGAACACATTGAGTTTTCATAGAGCAGATGCATGACTGCCATAGTGCTTCAGCTAAATGTGAATGTTGTAGGAAGCTGGGTTTACCTCGACGTCTCCCATAGCTCCTGGCTGCATGTGGAAAAGAGTACAAGTTTCAGCTGTGCAGACATTTATCAAAGTATTTTTTAAATACACTAAAATCTGGAGTTAATTTATCATCGCTTTCTTCAACTAAGATAATATAATTAGATCAGGTTAGTCAGGGTCAAATAAACTCAGATTCAAAGTTTCCATATACAAAAATATACTAGATTACCATAAAACAGTTTATTTTACATTGTCCTGAGATCCAGAAATTCCATTTCTGTCATTTTTCTTTTTCCTACATTATGTCTTGGGGACAATACACTTCAGAGCAACACAAACAAAACCCAGCATATACGGTATCACTTGTTTTAAACATCAAGACATAGAATGGGCATCTGAAGTTTCCATTTATAGTCTACTACTGCACACTGCACAGTAAAAGATGAAATACAATATAACGAAACTTGTGACATCTCTACAGACTGCATACAAAGCCATGTCCTTGGCAAATAAATGTATTACACTGCTGTGAAAAAATAAACCTATCCTCTTTCTAAATGGAGTTTACCAGACGTGAGGGGAGCCACTTGGCAAACTAGAAAAATGACCTTGTCAATTTCAACCCCACATATCTTATATCACTAAAAAGCCCTGGATGTGCTCTGCCAGGGGCAATGAGGCTCATCCCAGCAGCATGTATGGTCTCAGTGACATGAGTCTAAAACCGCCTCCAACAGATGACAAAATAGATAAATAAAAAAATAAAATAAATAACCTCATTTCTCACCACTGGCTTTCAGGAGGAAACAGCAAAAACCAGACGACACCAGATATAATAATAATAAGTTTGTGTAAGTATTTGTAAATGCCATCTGAACCACATTTGTGTCCTGCTGAGACAAAACCAGATAACATAACATTTTTGGCACCAACATGACATGTGTCCACATGTGAGACTCAAAAGAGTCTTCGAGGCTACAGTTATTCTCTGTGGCCCTGAAAGTTAACATCTTAATGAGAGGATGTGACAAAGGACTGCGGTGCATTCAAAATCCTCATGTGACTTAGTAAACAACGGAAGCACTCCTCACTATGTGAGCACCGTCAGATGACGTTAGGATGGTGGAGCTTGACTTTTAATTAAGCAAATTCATAAAAAGGACAAAATCATCAATTCAGAGAATTATGCAGTGATGCCTGTGGAGCCCAGAGACACTGCACAGACAGTTTGATGACAAATCAAACCTTTTTTTTGCAAATGCAAATAGATTTGTTGAAACAAATACTATGTGCTAAAGAGTAAGAGTGGAAGCATCATGAGAGTTGGCGACACAGAGGGAGATGGTGCTAAGAGATAATTACCATTGAGCATGAGTAGGCCGTCGGCCCCGGGGTTAGGGCATCCCACACGGCCTGGCATGAGAAACACAGAGACACACACACACAAATAGGGATGAGACAGAGCAAATGGAGACAACAGGGCAAGGCCAATACAAGGGACAAGACAGTAAGAACACACACACACAATACGCACAGACATACAACTACTGGGCCTGTGAATGTGTTACAGCAGCCTTGTCGCATGCCCACGTCGAGCACTATGGTCAGCAGGGACAGTTGGTATAGACTGAGTGCTGCATTTTAGCCATTAGCTCTATATCCTGCAAAAGGGTGCAGCGCTAAAATGAAGTGAATATGGGCGTGTTCAACGGTGTTTTGCAGTTTTGGTGACCACAGACACAGCACACGTTCGTGCACAGTCAGGCATTACTGAGTGCATTTTATAGGTGGGGTGGAATACATTATTATAGAGGAATGCAGGTGAGCAGGTGGAGCCAGGGCTGGCTTTAGTTGTGTCCAATCAAACCAGCTCCTCTCATCCCCTCTAAGGAGCAGGGCAGAAACCTGACTGACGCCACTGATGTCATATATATGTATATACACAAGAGGCGAGTTTCTTTCCCTGTATCGTCTTCTCCTGCCAGTTATGTTCTCCATTCTTAAATTGACAGTGACAAAACAGTTTAAGTAGAAGTAGTGCACGTAAATATTCACTCAGCAGTCTGCTAATATCACTGACCAACGTTTGTGCATGGAAGAAAAAAGTCTGACCTTGTAACCAGCAGCAGTTGTATGGTGTCATTTACTCACAGCTGTATATAGTGAGTGAAATCCACAGGGGTCTCACGTAACCTTCTAAACGTTTCACTGTTTTTAAAATAATACAATGAAATCATGTTGTAATCACAGTGTTTATGGTGAAACTGATTGTGGTCCATCAGAGCTCACAGCCAGTGGATGTGTCGTCTACTTTATCTCCATCTGCTGCTTTCAAAGCTGTCAAACCACCATAAAATGCAAAAACAGACACAACGTGTAGTATTAATGGTAGTGATGAAGGTATGTGTGTGTGTAACTTGTTCATCTGAAGAAACTCTACCTTAAGAGTGACAGCAGCCACAGTGTGGTCGGACTGACTTTACCTGCTGCGTAACAGGATTAATGAAGACGTCTGTAGGGTGTTTGCTATTTATCTTGGCTCATGAGCTGCTTTCATGTGTTAGTGTGTGTAATTTTTAATGTGGATTTGGATTTCCAAACACTGACTGCAGATCACCTCTGGCTGCATCCTGTGAGTAGGCTACAGATGGTGCGTCCTGATGTGCACAACACTGTGTGACTATAGCCACATACTTGTTTATTTATCTTATTCATGATACACAATAAATTATTCAAAGTGAATTCCAGCAGATCAGTTGTGGATTTAAGGGTTAATTGCAGGTTGGTGTGGCCTTTAAAATTAATCTGGGTACCTGATCTCGTGCTTCCCGGTCTAGGTGCTTGTCAGGAAAATTGCAGATACACTTATGAATGCGATAAGATGCAGTCTGAGCAGGTGTTATTGCTATTTGGGGTCAAAACGAGCAACGAAAGTACACTGCGCTGCCTAATCAGCATACACTTGGCTTCAAGTGCACCTCTCCCCCTACCTCAGCATAAGCGCATTCATTCATGGTAGGAAAATACCAAACACACCAATACACAGCAAAAAGTAGACGTGCACCGAGGAAAACTGCCAAAGGACTGTAAATGAGGCAACGCAGAAGTTGCACTGGCAGGAGAATAGAGCTCTAAACCTCACTATGTGAGTAGTGTTGTGTTGTATCAGTGTTTCCTTTGGCACTACCACTGGGTGGCACCAGTGTCAGAATTTTACACACTGGCTTTAGATGTTAATTAGCAACAAGCAGGATACACAAATATATTACAAAGAAAACATGGATTTAAAAAAAAGTTAAAGCTGAAAGTGCACTAGTTTTTTATTGCCATTGCATTTAATTTCCCCTTGCAGTGTTACTATTATGGTGTAATAACTCCTGTATTTGGGAGCTGCTAGCCTCTGTTGTGTTAGCCATGGTAATGCTATAAATGGAAGGGCCAAGCCTTGAAAGCCCTCCTTCCTTCTCGTCTCCTCTCTTGGCTGTCATACACAGTGTGTGAAAGCGTGATCACATCTAAAATTAGTCTCTATGCCTCTCTCTTTGCTGTGCACACTGGCCCGTGTCCCCTCCATCTGCTCCTGCAGGAAAAACAAGGGACTCGCCCACGAATGGAGGGCGCAGGTTGAGTCCTGATGGCAGCAGGTTTATAATGAATCCTACAAATAATCAAACCTGCTGAAGACCTTTGGTGCATCTACTTGTGAAAACAAACAACAACTCAGTGTATGCATGCTTGGGTTTTACCAGTGTTGTTATTTCTGGGTTATATTTAAACATGCAAGTGTAGGTGGGATGTGAAGGCTGTAAATGAGCTACAAGCAGCAGAGGAGGGAAAGGACAGTGCAGTTATTTGACACTGCTCCTCTGATGTCCAGCAGCTGAGTCCAGGAGGCTAGGACAGTGTCACAATACAGAACATTCTCTCCTTGCCACCGCCATGAGGAATAGTTAAAAAGAAACTGAGGACTGTTTATGCATCATGTGTTTTGTGTGATACGCCTGTGTCTGATCTGTCACAAACCATCTGAAACTAATCAGAAAAGCACTGTGGTTCCTCGTCTCTGCCTCTTCTGCTCCTGACTCAGCTGTGCCTGCTGCCCAGGTTAAGTAGCAACAGACCGGAGCTGGAGGGTCATGCAAATGTGCAACACAGCTCTGGGAGCAGTTCCCCTCACCAAGTCACTCTGCACGATGTTAGGCCTCGTCTCTGAACATGATCACCTCACTCTGACCCCCCTTCCCCCACGTGTAGATAGAAAGGGAAAGGCAATCTTACCTTTCATCGGATCCTGTTCAGCTCGCATGATGTCAATCAGAGAGCTCTCCAGGGAGTGCATGTTCAGACTGTCGTACATTCTGGAGCGGTCCTATAAAAAAATATGTGGTTTTATATCATCCAACTGTTGGAGCTAACAAAACAAACACAAGCCATAATTTGGGTCTAATTTCTCAGGTTTCTAACACACTTTCTGGCTTATGAATTACAAAGTCTCTGAAGTATGGCTAAACACGTAAGAGATTTCACAGCGTGTAGCAGCTCACACTGGGATTAACATTCTTTCCGTATTTATATTCACTTTAGGAATTTGAAGGTATATTTGTGAGCAGTCCATATGATGGATTTCCCAGGATCTTTGGCCTTGTTCCCAGAGGCAGACAGAGAGAGAATGGAAACCAAAACCAGGAGTGGCATTTAGCCGGAGAGCTGAGATGGAGGTTATGAGCTCATCAGCTCTGCCAGTGAGATAGTCATCCTTAATGACCTGCTATGACAGACTCATATGGTTAATATTCTGGTGACTAGCACCTAACCTAGCTCGCCCCACCTAACATAAAAGATTAATGATCAATTTAATACAAACAGTTGCAGGCTGTGTGTGTGAGTGTGTTGTTTTCACTTTTATTTTTAGTAGAAAACAAACAATAAAGAGTTTCGTTAGAAGGCATTTTAGTGAGTTTAAATCGTTTATTTATATTATATTATCATTTATAACTAGGATTTATGTTCTCATTTACCTCTAATAGTATCAAGGTATGCAGATCATTTTGTCTTTCTTTTAATTTTGGAAATATCTGCATCTGATAGTTCCTCCGTCGTATAAATACAGTGGAAGTGAAAGGAGTTTCATTTGTGATGCTCAGCAGCAACATTTCTCTGCAGTGACAGTGCACCGTTTACCGGACACACTGTCAGCCATGTCAGCTGGGACCATTTCTTTGGTCCAGAGCTCTTTAAAGTCAAAGTCCAAGTGTTTATTGTCATGTGCACAGTAAGGAATCATGTTTCCCTGTACAATGAAATTCTTACTTTGCTGTCCCCAGTGAATGCCACACAACACAAGTGAAATATAAAGTAGATAAACAGTAACACAATCTAAAGGCACTTTAAAAACAGCAAGCGAAAATATAAGAAGAATATAATAGAGACGTATACTTTAAATGAAAAGCAAGAGGTCTGTGGAATATCCAGAGTAATGGAAACACTGTTACTTACAAAAAGTACTCTATTTTTATCCCTAATTATCTCATTTCAAAGACCATTCCTTTGTTGTCTGCATTGTTACTGTCTGTTCATACTGCTTTTTCTGCATTGTTTGCATTTTCTGTTGCTTGTAAATACTGCTTAGTTTTGTTATATTACACAGCCTTATGCTGGTTTACTGTTTGCACATTGAGAGCCGATGTACCAGAGTCAAATTCCTCGTGTATCCAACACACCTGGCCAATAAAGCAGATTCTGATTCTGATTCTTCTGATCCTGAAAAACTCTGTGTTTTGCAATGGAATTTTAAACACTATAATTGTTTAACTGAAGAAAACTCAAATGGAAGAGTGCAAAACACAGCTTTAAAAAAGAATCAAAATTGATGCGGCAGAACCAGAGATATTGTCTTTTTTTAATTCCAAATATTCTTTTTCCTACATTACCCACAGTGAAACTCAATTTAGCTCAGGGCCTGAGCCTTGAGCTGAGGTGACGAGGTCTGGTAAACGCCTTCTAACTTCACACACCTGCCCTCTGGGGCCAATACAGATGTTAGACAGTTTTCCCCCATATACTCAGTGACACTGCCCAACACTGGCATGATGGACGGGTTGTTAAGCTGTAACACACGTTACTACAGGGCCATGGAGATCATGGTGTTACGTGGATAGCGTTACACTAAGTTCCTAAAGTAAAAGAGTGTTCCTTTACTTTAGGAACATAGTTTTTAATGTGACAGTATGCATTAATGGTAAAGAAATTACTGTGAAGTATAGTATTGTCAGGTAGAGGCATAGTACTCTTAGTGAAAGTGCTTCACCCCTGCCTGCCGCAGTCTACCTCTGTGTGATGTTAAAAACATGACACAGCAGAGAAACTCTGTGTCACTGACTGCCAAATATTAAACAGAGAGGAAGGAAGGAAAAGACTTGGAATCTGAAAAATTCTGGGTCTGACATTGTTTATGGAAATTAACAATCCATGGAGTCGGGCTTGTTTCCTGGAAAAGAAAGCACTGACACCGCTAATAATTTGAGCTCATAGCAACAGGATGACTTAGACACCATTATTTAGGTGATATCATTATTTTAGTTTAAATGAGCAGTGGTGAAAGAATCGCCCAGATTGTTTACTTAAGCAAAAGTAAGAGTTACAAGTAAGAGTCCTATATTCAAAATGTTACTGGCAGCAAGTAAAAGTACAAAAGTATTAGCATCAGAATAGACTAAAATAAAAAAGTCAAAGTGCTCATTCTGCACAATGGCACATTTCACATCAATGTGTATTATATATGTGGATTACAGTTATTGTGTGTTATTGTGTACATCCCATTTAATGTTGCAGCTGGTAAAGATGGAGCTAACGTTAACTATCTTATATGCAGAATCTGAAGTAGTTTACATACTGCTGGGTATCTGGTGAAATTAGCCACCAGGGATCAATAAAAGTCTGATAATTATAGTATATTTTGTTTAATTAGTCTCATTCTGAAAAGTAACTAGTAACAGAAGTTATCAAATAAATGTAGTGAAGTCGAAGTACGAAGTCACAGAAAATGAAAATACTCAAGTGAAGTACAGATACATGGTAAAGTAACCGATGAACTAGGTTGGAAGTTTCATGGAATTTACTGAGTAACAGACAATGAAACTGTGGAATTTCAGGAAATTATATCAATTAATAAAATGTAATAAATGATTATGATGACGATGATGATGATAATAAAATACACTTGGGTAAATGCAATTCTGTATGCATGCAATGTGCATATCATAACAGTCATTTAGTGATAAATTATTTCATCTAATTTCTTAACTGCAATCGACACAAACACCGAATAACCCAGAGACACGTCAGCCATTGTTACAAGTCACATGTAATTATTTAAATCACTAACCTTTTTATTGATAAATCTAATTTTGAGAACAAACAGGGATTTTGTTGCTGGCTGTGTAGAAGACAACCAAGCAATTAGTGAGATATGACAAACACTGGACCAGATGTGACCATCTACACCCCTGTATTGTAGTCATCATTAAGATTTCAACATTATAACCACTGACAGACCAGTTAACCTGAAGCTTTTCTTAAGTAGACAACAATGCAGTAACTATAACGTGGAATGACCTTCTGGCTCCTTTAGACGTCCACACAAAGAACCTTGGTACCTGAAGCAGAGCTGACAGTTGTTAGTATCCTGAATATGACTTCAGCCCATCCCTTGCTTTGTTACACCTTTAGCAAACCTGTGTATCAGTTACAACTCCTCCTATTTGACTAACATGCTAACTTTGCTGTTCTTTTTATGGTAATGTGCATCTACTGACTGCTACTGTATGCATGCCTAAAGAACCCTTCACTTCAGTTTCTCTTTATCATTACCATTGGCTAATCTCTAATTCAAATGATGATGAGTATGCCTCTTCTGCTACTCGTCTCCCACCATTACAGCCACAGACTCTCACACAGTAATACAAAAACAAAACCCTGCCACTCACGACATGTACACACACCTGACCAATTAACCTCCAAAACCAGCAACACCAGCCAATGTATGAACGACCCAGAACACATACCTGAAGGGGCAACAAGGTGTTGCTGTTGCTGTCTGTGCGAAACATGTTCTCCTCTATCCAGGACTTGGGCCCCAGTGATCCTGCGGAGCGTGGGAACTTAGGAGGGGCGATGACGTTGCTCGAGAAGGGCTTCTTCAGGGGCGAGACGTGACTGACTGAGCCAGGTATGCTCATGCCACTCCCTCTGCGGTGGTCCCTGCCCCAGGACATCCCCCCAGAGCCCCAGCCATTCCCCTGGTGACTGCCCCAGGGAGATGGCTTCACCATGGGCTGCACATGCATCGTGGAGTGGGCATGGGGAGAGGGTGGGAAGATGGAATGTTACAAAGAGCATGTTCACCTTGTTGTACATTTTTAGCATCTATAATAATATTTCCATTGGATCCTACATCCTGCCTGTCTATCTTTTCCTTTCTCCTTGTCAGACACAGCCTTGATCTGCTCCTGTAACGAGTGGGTCGATAAGAAGATTTAGGGCTTTAAGGCTTAAGACTTAAGTATCCTGTGCCCTGCGACACCACCACACTCTCTCTCTCTACCTGGACCTTGTGTCCACTCTTAATCATGCATTGAATCGCATCCTGCTTAGTCCTGCATGCTTTCACATGAAAATCTTACAAAGAAGACAATCAACTTTCTGTCTCTTGCACACTCACTCCACAAAGTAATCTAAAGTCCTTTTCGCTTTGGCTCTGCTGCACACACCCATGTGGACTCCCGGGTAGTACATGAATATGTACAAAACTTGCATTTCAGCAGACAAAATAATAATAATAATTATGTAATCTTTCCCCTGCATCTCCTTAAAATGTCTGCTTTTATGATGATGGGACCAACATGGCTGATGGTCTTTGGAGGTTTATTAAAATGTATACATAGTTCTTGTAATCAAAGCAAGGCATTACAGTGAAACAGCAACACCACAGATGCACTTTAAGCACACCCAGTCACACACACACACTTACATACACACATACGCCCAATGTGCAAATCACATTAGAAACCTGAAGCCGAAGGCTACTAGCGCGCAGGCCCCAAGATTACTGCATAATCTAAACCTTCATGTGAGCTTCTATTGCTATTGTTCATCTTTCTTCAGGGTCCCCTGTCTCCCAGTACACGCACCCTACCACCACCATCACCTAGTGACTACGTCTTCATTTCACCCAAATAAACATCTGCTTAGAACACCAAACGCTGCAAGCCTTTGTATTCCCACTGAGTGCACCACAAGACAGGGATGGTCCAGCGCCATGTGACTGCATCCCACTGCCAGCTTCCAGGCGAGAACAACAGCTAGATTCAGTGAGGCTCCCTTGTTCCCCCTGTTCACCCCTCCCTCCCTTTCCCTCAAGAGTAGTGACTTCAGCCCTTTCAGAGGACATGCCAAATGCATTATGAAGGGGGGAAAAACACTATTAGTCCTTTAAAGACTACAGCTGCATAACGTCCACACAAAAAGGCACACAGAATTCTTAAGGCAATGTTTTATCTCTGCAGTGTCACAAGATGCCCCACAACCTAAGGGCATACCATTAGTGGCTGTCACTTAAAATGATGAAAACCTAACATCTGGACTCAAATAGTCTGAAAAGAATGGAGTTATGGTGGGCTCTGGGCTTATTTTTGGTCATAAAATGGAAGGATAAGTACGGCTGGAGAGCTGCCTATCGTCTTGTGTCAGTTTCATGTGATTTATGTCCTTTTGCAGCTCACCTGATGTTGGTTGTAATTGTTCCTCTGCTGCAGGAAGGCGCCCTGCTGGGGATGCATCTGGGGGCTGACCGGGGATCTGCGGGTCTGCGGCTGCTGAGGGACATTTATCTGGGGTGAGAATGGACCGCCGAAGCCCTGCACATTAATCCCGGCGCACGGATTCGCTGAAAAACTCTGGAAGAAGGCCGGGTTGATGGAAGAGGGGATACCTGGGTAAAAGCTGTTTTCAGAGTCCGTGCTGGGCATCTGGTTAATGGCGTTGGCGTGGATAGGGTTGATGGAATTAGGTGCGGGCGGGGGCGAGGAGTTGGTCTGGACTGACCAAGGGGTGCCGAACCCAGGGAGGGAAGGTGAAGTCGAGCCCCCGCTGGCGCTCTGCATCTCCTGGGTGGGGAGGTTCGGGAAAGCGGCACCGAGACCTCCGGACAACATGTTGCCGGTGCTGCTGCTGCCATTGCCGTTATTTATGTGGTGGGCGATAGGGGAGTCCATTTGGATCTTGTTTGGATTTACGGAAGTGGGCGATGGCGACGCAGCATCGGCTTCAGCCTCTTCCACTGGTGAGCCGCAGGGGTCAGCAGCGCTGGGCTCGGGCTTGGAGAAGGGCTGTCTCTGCGGCAGGTAACTGAAATGTCCCTGGGGTGGGGGCGACTCTGTGGAGCTAAACTCAGTGTGCTGACTTAACTGCTGATGTATTTTTCGGCTGTGCTGAAGGTCACAGATAGACTGCGTCGGGCAAAAACGATCTCGATTGAAAGAGGGGAAAGCTGTCTTCTGGGTGTGATGGTTATAATCCGGCGTCAAAGAGCTCAGGCTGTCGTGGTTGGCGGTGAGGTTGGGTTGCTTACCGGATTTGCTGACCGTGTTGCTGTTGCTGTCCTTTTCATCGGTTGACTGGGGCAGTTGCGTGGTTGTCACCCCCACAGGCTCATCCTGCATGTTTTGCTGATGCGCAGCAGCTGACAGGAACAGCGGGGACGGGGCGACGCAGCTGAAGGGCGAACCAGGAGCAAAGTGGCCGCAGGAAACCGGCAGGACGAGGCGCAGTATCCGACAGCCGGCTGAACAACACTTAATTTGGCTTTTAAATTGTGCAAACAGGCCAATATACGTTTGAAAATATATTTAACCAGCGTTTCTGAATGAGATCTTTAATAGGAAAATGTCTGTGAAGGCAGCGATAGAGAGGAGGGGGTCTGGCCTATGCGAATCGCGAGCGGCTCGTTCTAGTCGTATTCTCTGTTTTACTCGGCGATATTTTCATCTATCCAGAGACCGAGCTTCCTCGGCCTTGTAGTAGGCTAGCCTAGCCTGTTCGGACCATTCCTGTCCGACCGTACTACCCCCTCCTCTGGCTACCGGCTGTGCTGCTGCGGCAGAGGATTAAAGATCCCCGACTGAAGCTACGTCACGACCGCATCACGCCTCGGTGCACCCGCCCCGAGCCTCGAGCCCGAGCTGCAAAGAGGACCGCATTGTTTACGTCATTTTTTCATTATTCATAAAGCGCAGTAGGCCTACACCCTCACCAATCCCCGGTGTTTCGGAAAGTAGCCCACTATATAATGAGTTGCATCATTAATATTCCGTGGCAGACCGGTAGTAAGGCTGTGTCTCTGTTAACCACTTAGTAATGACGCTTGTAGGCCAGTCGCGTAATGTGTACAGTGCACATCTCTTATGTAGCACAACAATAATAATTATATTGCGATGTCATATAGCGTAACTGCTGTAAAATTAAGTAGGCCCTGTGTTCTATGTTGAAATTACTCAGCCTAATTCTAAAGGCATTTCTTTAATTTTATGTTCCAGTCAACCTCCGAGTCTAGAAGAGGCTTCTTACTCAAAGCCGACCGCTGTCCTTCACAAAGCTTAACATTTGATTAACATGTCACATTATGCGGATAACTGTGGCATTTAAGTCTCTTTATCTGAAATGTTCTCTCGAAAGATACATCACGGCACAGTGTGTTTCGGCTTGTACCTATCAGTATGCAGTCCACAACCACTATACGTGCGTCTGCGCCGGCGTCACTTTACGCACGGACGCCAAGAGCTAAATATAGTCTTCTATGTCAGCTTGTGTCAAGGGGGATGAATCTTCACCGCATGTTCTGAACTCAAAGCTGACAGGCAACCCTACCATTTGATCTGCCTGTGCTACATGGCTACAGACGAGCTCTATTTTAGTAATAAGAAAGAGTGGATGTAGCCCGAGTGTACCTATCTGACTGTTCATTTGAGGTTGAGGACTAAAGGGGAACATAATGAAGGGTTTTAGGCCAACTGTTCATACTGCAGAGGAATACCAGGTGTCTTTTATTCACATTAAATACACAATAGGCTTCCGTTGGGAAGATGCAAATCAGCAACACTCCAGGTAGTTTCTTGTTTGTACAAAATGAGCTGCTGTTATAGATTATTAGTTTGTTAGTCCAGTGGTGTGAACACAGGGGCTTACTTGTTGTATCACATACGCAGACATTCATTTCCCCTTCTCAAGACTGAAGGTGAATAAACCATTGCACTCTCTGTGTGTGAATGTGGTTTGTAATGAGGGAGACAGATACCAGACTAGCAAAGCAATGTGCATGATCAGCCTACCGTCTGCTCATTGGTAATAATGATGGCCCATCTCTTCACAAACTATGTACAGCTTTCCACCCTCCATTGTCACATACACAATGCCTTTTTAATCAAAACACCTGATTACAAAAACACTGGCAACTTCAAAACCTCACCCAATAATCAGAGAATATTTTTAGATTAAAATTGTTGTGAAGTGCGTTGTGACTGCCGAGAGTCTGCCAAGCGTGTACACAGGAAGCTATCTATTTTGGATCGCATACACTATCATTACCATTGTTATATTGCTATTCACCAGTGCTACAAAGCATTTTATGCATGCTCTGGCAATGACAACTTTCATTTTCACAGCTTCAACATGACATGAATCTCATCAATGACCGGATTTGACTCAGCTTGCTGATATCTTGATTTGCTTTTCCCATTTCACAGCACCTTGATCTGTTATGAAAAGTAAGAAGACACCCCCAGAAATTCCCCTTCATAAGGTCCCAGATGGGACAGGCCCACCAGTCAGGGGGCAGGTGTGGTTGCCACAGTTAGTGCTGAGCACCAGTGATTACCCAGGCCCAGTAAGTGCTGGAGGGAGTTAAATGGGGCAGGCTGCCAGCTGCTGGTGTTTGCTGATGATGGACTGGGGGAGGGGGTCAACCAGGGTGGCTGGGGTGGAAACAGGGGTGGTGCTGGGGGGGTGGGGTCCATTCTCTCCCTGCTACAGAATGTGACACATCGATTGGAAGCATAATTCTGCATTTTTGTATTTATCTTTGGATTTTCCTGTGTGTACTGTACATAGGGAACAAATATAAACTTGAACATGTCTGTAAAATCTGATTGTGTGTGGATGCTTCATATTAAAATGAGTGTGAGAAATAAAGCAACTACACCCTGTATTTTAACCAGGTTACTCTGTGTTGCTGCTGTTGGTTATTAGAAGCACCTGGCTCAGTAAGTGCTATCAAATTTCACAGTGTTTGTAAAACTAGCTTTATTTAGGTCTCTGTCAGAGTGGATGGCTGTCACCCTGCAGCTGCAGTTGTCATAGCAACAGGTAATGTGCATTTGCTTTTGTGAAGCTGATTGCTCTGTTTGTCTCAGTGCTCTCTCCCAGTCTCACTGTGTATGTTTGAGGGGTTGGGTGGAGGGTATTGATCAGCTCATCCTGTTTGACAGACCTATCCATCAACAGCGATGACTCTATTCACGGATTGATAGGGTTTCTTCCATCTCTTATAATCCCATCTCAGTGTACAGGAAGTATGCCTCCTTTGTGCCACTCAGCTCTGGGGTCGGGTTTCAAAGATGTCACTGGGTAGTGGTGCCATCGACCTACTTCCTCAGTGAAAACCATGAGATTCAGACGGTGATAGTTAAATCAGATTTGCACCAGCATTTAATCAATTACACACAGATTACCAAAAACATTTATATTTAACAATATCTAATGATATCATTCAAATAGTTGTGATTTCATTCACCAAAGTTTGGAAATTTCTGTCTCCACACCAATATTAAATGAAATGTAGTTTCCAAATTAAGTTTTCCAAATTGTCTGGATAAATAACAGACTTCCCAGTGAGCAGTTTTCATGGGAAATAATACAATTTGTCAGTTTACGTTTCCAGACTTGGACAAGTACAACCAAATGTATGCACACGCCTGGACACTGCTCATGGTAAACAAAAGGTTTGTTTGTACTTTGACTGAACTAACTATTTAACCTTGTCACTTTTCCTATTTACTAAGGCTTGTGGACACCAAAGCCTGTTCTACCTGAGGGTATAACGACATGGCAGCAGTGCCAGTTTATGGGAGGGTTTTTGTTTCGTTGTTGCAGTAAATTGTCCCTTTGTTGTGTCTCTGTGGGCACTGAATAGCTCTTTGTGCTGCTGCTGACTGATAAAGCTTCTGCAAACAGTCATCTCACTCACACATGCGTGCACTCACAAACACAGACACACGGCCAGAGGTGTCCGTAAAGATGTTACAGCCACATTAGATCAAAAACTCACAAACAGAAAGACATACAGTGTAAACGCAGATGGCTGGATAAGCTTATCTCCTGTCCAAACTGGGGCTTGCCCCCAGTGGTCACACCTATCATCCCCTCTTCAAGACACTTTTGCCTCAGAATCAACCAAAAGGACCTTCCCATCTAAGACTGGTATTATTCTGTGAAACTGAATGAGCAGTGGGTTTGTATCAGATTGGCACATTATTGCATTTTATGGCCCACTGCAGAAGGCTTGTGAGACCGATTAGCTGGTTGGTTTCTACGAGGCAGGAAACCAGGCAGGCACATCTGTCACTCTTCACACATGTTCTAAGTGTGCAGTGGTGTGATCCTGCTTCATCAGATTGGCTTGTATTCGATATTAAAGCCAGGTAGGTAACTCAAATGATCAGTCCTCGGCTCAATTTGTGGTAGCTTTCATTATCTTTGATCACCTTTATCCTATTTCCTTTGTCTTAGTGCTGTCCTGACTAGTGCTCTTGTCACTAATCCTATTCCCAGTATTCCCATGAGTGCTCTCCGGTGACTGTGTCAGCATCACATCTGTCTATTCTTTTGGCTTTAA